TGAGTTTGCTATCTTGGAGGCTGAGATGGAACTGCTGTGAATTTGAGGCCAGCCCAGGCTACACAGCATTATTAAATATATATATATATATATATATATATATATGAATGACAGAAACAAATATTATAAAGTGACTGTTGCTGGGTAGTGCCTTTAACCCCAGCATGCCAAAGGCAGAGGCAGGCAGATCTCTGTGACTTCAAGGCCAGCCTGGTCTAGAGAGTGAGTTCCAGGACAGCTAGCGCTACACAGAGAAACCCTGTTTCAAAAGCAACAACAACTCTATACCCCAGTTCTCTTTGCATGGCATATCTATCTTTCTGTCTCCCACCCGCCGCGGTCGCTCTTTTTCAGCAGAGACTAGAAGCCACTACCCCTTCCTACTAGAAACCAGACTCTTAACCTCTACGACCTCAGAGCCTCAGCCACCAGTCTCCCGGACCTGTCACTCCCTTCTCAAAGCCCGTTGTGGTCTCTTCCTCACCATAGCACCAAAACCAGTTTCCATACTTTGACCGAACATTCTCGCTAATTCTCCATGTATGCTCGCAGCTCCAATCACACTGGACCTGGGCAAGGAAGGGACCTTGTACTGAGGCCCTGCAGAAAGCAGGGATCCAGGCTGCAGGACTCAGCGGGGTGACAAGTGAGGATGATTTTCAGTCTACCTGCACATCGCCAGGCATATCTCTAGGGCTTAGTACATTTCAGTTCCTGATTTCCAAAACTTTTATCCTTCTGAGACTTCGTTGCCCAGCTTCAAAGGCTACAGCAGCCCTTCTTAAGCTTCCTAAGTGCTGGTGTTACAGACATGAGGATTGTCCCAGCTTTATTTTCAAAACTTCTTATCTACTCTTTTGGGATATCTTTTTTTCCTCTTTAAAAAAATTTAAAAAAAAAAAAGACTTTCATTATATAAGTAGCCCAGGATGGCCTAGAACTTGAAATCTTCCTGCCTCAATTCCCTGGTTCCCAAGTGATAGGATTACAGGCCTGAGCCACCACACCTGGATGCCTTCTTATCTTCATTTTAAGAAGGAGAGAGAATTTCAAAAAAAAAAAAAAAATCTCAATGAAAGGGCCATGCTTTTATGGGTTAATCCCTCCAATTAAAATTCAAGTGCCCCAAAGCTCCATCTTCTCCAACATTTTAATTAACTGGAGGATCGGTATGGTGCTTCAGTACCGAAGGGAGGAAATGAATGCTTAATTCAAAGTGACTGCTCAGGACTCCTTCTTCCCTGAGGACACCTGAGGGCTCTGGCTTCCCATCCTGCCTGCATCATGAGGGCCAGGCAACACAGTGCTGGGGAGGAGCCAGAAGAGAGCACACCAGTGGCACAGCTTTCAGAGCTGCGAGGTGGGAACAGGATGGTGGTGGTGGCTCACACCTGGAATCCCAGCTCCTGGGAGGCTGAGTTAGTACAGATGGCTGCTCCAAGTTTGAAGTCAGCCTGGGCTACATAATGAGTTCTCGACCAGTGTGCACCGACTGTAGGGTCAAACCGAGTCTCATGAGACTATGTATGTATGTATGTATGCATGCGTGTATGTATGTATGTATGCATGCATGTATGTATGTGGGTATGGAGAGTGACAGAAGACAATAGACCAATGTCAACCTCTGGTCTCTTATACATACTCACCACACACATATCACACACACACACACACACACACACACACACACACACACACACAGACCAGGGACTGGAAAGATGGCTGAGCAGATGACTCAGTATCTAGGAGCACTTGCTGTTCTTTTGGAGGACCCAAGTTCACTTCTCAGCACCCCCCACAGCTGCCCATGACTCCAGCTTCACAGTATCTAGCCCCCAATTCTATTCTCTGAAGTCACTAGGCACATATGTGGTACACAGACATACATGCAGACAAAACACCCATGCACATAAAATAAAAACAAAATTTTATTAAAAAAACCAAACAAATAAAAAACCCCAACAGGGCCAGTGAGACAGTTTGGCAGGCAAAGGCACTTGCTGTCCAAGTCTGATGACCTGAGCTTGGTAGCTGGACCCCACATAGAGGTGGAAGAAGAGAACCAACTCCAATTGTCCTCTGTCCTTTACATGGATGCCGTGGCAAGTATGTCACACATATGCCGTGTACACACACCAACAATAAGCAAAACAGAGGGGGTGTGATTAGTGTGGAGGGGGCAAGTGTTGTATGATGTTTTGATTGCATTCTGACAGTAAAGCTTGCTTTGTGTCAGAGGGCAGAGCTAGCCACTAGCTGACCATGGGTGCCTGCCCATGGCTTCCAAGGACAATACTCAGGAGGGAAACCCATGGAGGGACTTAGAGAGGTTTATTATTATTATTTTTATTTTATGTACACTGTTGTTTTGCCTGTATGTATGTCCGTGTAAGGGTGTCAGATCTTGGAGTTACAGACAGTTGTTAGCTGCCATATAGGTCCTGGGAATTGAACCTGGGTCCTCTGGAAGAGCAATCAGTGTTCTTAACTGCTGAGCCATCTCTCCAGGCCCCCTTAGAGAGGTTTCTATGGGAACAGGGCAGTGAAGCTAGGGAGATTAGCCTACTATAGGCCAAGGCTGAGGACTGGAGGAAGATTCTGGCTTAGTAACTGGCCACTGGTATCCAAGGGGCATTGCTGGACGATGGAACTTAAAATAGAAGCAGCCATGTGGTATCTGAACTGAATGGACATCATTCCTGACTTCCTTGCACCAGCTCCTTTGGAGTTTAGTGGAAGGGGCAAGACGGAGCAAAAGAGATTGATGTGGAGGATATTCTCAGAGTATGATAATACTACATCACACAGGATTGGAGGCCACTCCCTGTGGCTTCTCTCCACCTTCTCTCCCTGGATGGGTTCATCTTGCCCTCTCTAGCAAGAGGCTATTGTCAAGAATCTGCTTAGGAATCGTCAGAAGCAGCCAGGGCTGTTAAAGTCTCTATGTGGATCTGAAATTGTTGAGGAGTCCCTTTCCTATCACAAACCCTTTATGCCCCTCCAACAAGTCATCACCGGAGATCAATTCCTTTTGACCCACGTGTTTTATTTACTTATTTGTTTTCGACAGGGTCTCATGTAGTCCAGGCAAGAACTCAATCTTCTTGCCTTAGCTTCGGGAGGGCTAGGATTACAGGGGCATGTCAGCGTGCTTGGCTCTGGCTTCGGCATTGTAGCGATTCCATGCTACCCTTGTCCAGAAGGCTCTGGTTTATGAAACACTACCTAGGGTAAGGAGCCTGCCGGCTGGACAGACCCACTAACAGTTGTGTTGAGGAGTGGGTTTTGAGCCCAGCCATGGATTGAAGGCTCTCTGAGATGCCCCTTGGCTTCCGGTTCAGCCCTGCCCTCCAAAGCTGTCCTTTCTCTTTGGCATACTCTGTCCCTGCCTGCCAGGCCTCACCTCAAAAAGCAAGAAAGGAAACAGAGAGGGCTTTCTGGAGCTGGCCCCGAGAGGCTTGTCTGTGCTGGGGAGGTCAAAGAGGGAGGGAGGGGCCGAGAAAGGCCTGAGAAGAAAGCCGAGGCCAGACAAAGGGCCCAGTCCACCTTTGAAGCTGCCTCTAACCCAAGAGGGAGGGTGAGGGGTGGGCCAAGGCCCGGCTGGAGAGGCAGTCTAGAGTCTTAAGAATGTCTCAGATTCCTGCGATAATCAGAGAGATCAGAGCCCCCCTCCTTCTCAAAGTCCTCCCAGCCCCCCAAAGTCCCAATACTCCACACCTTGGGGGCCCCAACTCTTTGTCCTCAAGTAATTGCTGGGTGTTGCCTCAGTTTTAAAGTCCCATTGAACTCGCCAGTTATCAGCTGCAGCCTCAGACCACCCGCCCTACACACACCCCAGAAAACTACCCCCAGCGCGTCCGGCGGTCTTCACTGGGATTAAGGCTCTTTGTGATAGGGGGACAGAAAAAAAGCAACCTGGTGAAAAGCAATTATGACGAACTGGAAGGAGAATGTCAATCCTAGGCCTGCGGGACCTCCCTCTTGGCTCTTGTCGGCTCCACCTTCTAAATGGCCCGGGGTTGGGGGGTCAGGCCCTGTTCCAGCTCTAAGTTGGTTCTGTCTGCGGCAGCCCACCTCCGGTTCAGACTAAACCAGGCCCCGGCCCTACAACTTCTGTTCGGGACTTTTTGAAGTAATTTCTTGGGAGAAGTGGGAAGAAGGTTAGCTTTCAATCTTTTCCATTTCTCTTCATAATTACTCCTCCCCACAACATTTTCTTAAAGGGGGAAACTGAGGCTGAAGATTCCAGGAGCAGAAAGGAGAAAGGAGAGGAGGGTCCCAGACACAATAACCTCCCCCTTGACAAGATTAAAAGCCAGCGCACCATAGGAGAGGCGGTTTTACGGCTTCCCCCCCCCGACGCCCCCCCCCCCCGCACACCTGGAAGCCTCTGGGAAAGCCCACCCCAGAAGCTCGGTGGGGGCTGGGCGCCCTCCCCCTCCACTCCCAGCCTGCGACCGCCTCTAATTGAGGCTTGCCCTCAGGTGTGGCCCCCGCCTCCGCCCCCAGTGGGGACCGAGGAGAACAAGGGGACACATTCTCGCCCCCACCCGCTTCCGCTCGTCCCAGACCTCCTCCCCCTCCCAGCCCTGCTCACCGGAAAAAAGCAATCTTGCTCCCCGCGAGGTGACTTCTGGCGTCCCCGGGCCGCGCTCCTGCTACCACCTCCCCCCTCCCGCGGGCCTGGGCCCCACAGGACACCTGTCCCGGCCAGCGGCCGCTCAGGGAGGCGCCTAGGGGTTGGGTTTTCTTCTCTCCTACAGGTAGCAGGGACGCGTCGCCTGAGCCTGGACATCGGAACGCGCGGAGGGAGGGGCCGCCAGTCCCCGCGTCTGGGCCTCCCGGCACCGCACAGCGGGACGCGCAGGCTGCAGCACCTGTGTGCCCGGGTGCCCATCTTTCCCAGCTAGCACCTGGCTTCTCGGTGCCGCCAGCACCAGACACTTTGCGGTTGAGTTCTGTGGTCTGATTGCCCACCTTTCTTCAGCGGACCCGGTTGCAGGAAAATGGTTTTATTCTGGGGCTTGGGATGGGAAGGCAAGCCTGGGGCGAGAAATAGGAAGAGTGGCTGGCATTGGTTTCTCTCTTGTGTCTCTGGAAACAAAACCAAAAGTCCCTTCTTACTGTCTGGGCAGGAGTTTGGATATTTGGTTCAAACTGAGCGAGATTCTGGGAGCAAGATTTGAGTAGTTTTCTGTAAGGCCAGTAATCTGCTGACCTACACACTTGTTTAAGGCGGTCGCTGGGAGGCAGGCATTTTAGGTCAGGGAAGACCCTACTTCTTTTTCTAGGATCTGCCCCTGGCCTCAAAAGAGCCTGTTCAACAGTGTGGTGCCCACCCTGGGGTGCACAAGTGCTGTCTCTTCCCAGCTGGGAATCAGATGCCCTCTGGGTCCTTTTAGGGTCTGGCTCCCCACCTTCCACCCCAGTCCCCATCTTTGGATGAGTTAGAGAAGAGAGAGAAGGCTGCCGAGGGGGCATCTACCCAACACTGCTCACTATGGCCTCCCTGACTACGTTTGGGGCTGGGGCCTCCGAGTACGCTTGGTCCTGCGGGTGGGGGCCGAACCCACGAACTCGAACTGCTTCTGCCTGTCCGCATGGTTGGGAAAAGGCAGCTGGCCCTGGTAGAGGCGTTTGATGAAGTGGGCCTCACGCTGGTTCTGGCGGCTTCGGGAGGCCTGGCGCGGCCGGCCCTGCCGAGTGAAAGCCATGAACCAGCCCTCGTGCCGAGCGTTCTGGAAGGCTGTGTAGTTGTTCTCCAGCACGATCTCAGTGAACACGCAGTCTTTGCTCTTCCCACTCGGCTATGGAAGAAAGAAGCAGAGGAGGGGAGTTTGTCCACTCACCCTGACTGAGTTGTTCGCCTGTGGGTCTATTTGGGTAGGAGCCACGTGGGAGCAAGGAGCCATTTGTGCCCCCAGGAAAGTGTCTGGGGAGATGGGTACCTCTGCTAATGAGGCAGCTGTGAGCATTGCACACAGGCTGTGGTTGGTGGACGTAAACCATTCGGCATTTAGGTCCCTTGAGGAAGCGCTAAGAAAACATTGAATCTGTTTCTTCAAATGCTCAAGATCAGGGTAGTATGCAATTCAGGGCTGGGGGTGGGGTGGGGGGCCTGGACGTGGCTTGTGAGGATTCCATCGTGAACTGTTACAGGGTGGAGAGAGGGGTCAGAAAGAGCTGGTGGGACACCTGACCCCACATGCCTTCCTTGCCTTCTTACGGGTGAGAAGGGAGAGGATGCCTGGTGAGAACCAGTCAGAGCTGGAGGAAGTCAAGACCGGGCAATTCTAAAGGAAGCGCTGTGCTGCGTACCCACAGTGCTTTGCGGCTTTACCCGCAAGTGTATCTTGCGGGTCACATCCATGAAACCCACTGAACTTGGGAGAACTTCTACCATACGTGAATGCCCTGACTTGCAACCCTTATCACGGTTTAGCCCCCTCCACCCCGACATGGGTTGCCACTCCAGCACACCACGGTACAATATCATGTAGTGGATAGATTCTTCCTGACGGCCGCTGGGGAAATAGTCCCTACATCAGCACCGGGTTCCCTGTGGATCCTCTGTCACTTCAGCCGACCAGGAGCCACAAGGACTCCTTTAAATAGCGTCTGGGGGTGGGGAGGGAGGGCTGGAGAAAAGGCTCAGTGGTGAAGATCACTGGGTGCTCTTCCAGAGGACCTGTTTCGATTCCTTGTACCTACATGGAGGCTGAAAAGCGTAACTCCAGTTCTGAGGGATCAGACACCCTCTTCTGGACGCTGTAAGCGTGCGCTGCATAGACATCCATGCAGGCAAAACACCCACACACATAAGAGAAAAATAAATATCTTAAAAAATTAGTAGAGATCTGGAGAGATGGCCCAGTGGTTAAGAGCACTGACTGCTCCAGCAGAGGACCTGGGCTCAGTTCCCAGCACCCACATGGCAGCCCACAACCATCTCTACCTCCAGTTCCAGGGGATCTGATCCCTTCTTACCTCCATAGGCACACATGTGATACACAGACATGCATGCAGATAAACACTCATACACATAAAATAAAAATACATAAATCTTTAGAAAGATTAAAAAATGAAATAAAGATTGAGGGATGGGGTGGTTGTCAAGAAAATAAGGCCTCATTCTGTGGAGCAGGAGCCACCCCTCCCCCTTTAGCCAGATGGGCTAGGTCACTGGCAAGAGCAGGTCCATCTCTGCGACCTTGCCTGCCCTTATTCCAGTATGGGAGACTCATCTGTCTGCTGCCCTGTGCCCCGGTTCTCCTCACCTTCCCAATCAGCTTGCCCCTCTTGTTCATACAGATGTACTTCTCGCTCTCCGCCCCCTTGATGCGGACCCGGCTGCCAAATGTATCCGTCTCCACGATGAGCTTAGCTATGGTGAGGGAAAGGAAGAAAGGCCTTTGTCTATTGGCTGTTGGCTCACAGACTGTGCAAGGGTTACCCCCGCCCCCCAAGCAGTCTGCCCTTCAAAGTCAGACCAAAGGGATAGTGTACAATCAGGCTTGAAGGATCAAGAGACTTACTCTACCCACCCACCATACCTCAAATCCCCTAACCCGGGAGTTGGGAAGAAACCAGGAGGCCAGGCTGGGCAGGGTATAAGTGGTCTGGGCAAGGGTTAGGTCTTACCGAACTTGTTGCCATCCTCGGCGGTGGCGGAGATGCGTCGCCCGGTGACCTGCACGTGCTTGCCGCTGGTCCGGCTGTAGAGCTGGTACTCACGGATTTGCCGCCTGCTCAGCTGGTCGGTCATGGCGCCCTGGTCCCTCACGTACTGGTTAAAATTAGGAGACGGGTGATTCTCCCCCTTTGCGGTTACCAAGGGAAAAATAGTGTCAATTTGCTTTGGGTGACACCACCATTGGTCCATCTGGGGAGAGGGGTAAAGAGGGAAGTGAAGTGGGCTTGGCCCTGGGCCCTGCAGTGTAGGGTACAAGGCTAAGAGTGCCTCTGTCCATGATTGTCCCAGGATGCTGCATGAGCCAGCTGTGACTTTTGGGGACTCGTGGCTGGTAGTCTTGGGAAACACAGTGAGACAGCATACATCCGCAGTCATAACAGGCTGCTAGAAGAAACCTTCCAGGTTGCGTGTCCTGTCCCCATGTTCCATAGAACAGGTACATGGGACAGGTAACCCAAAGCCAGAACTCCTTTCTCTTTCTCAGGGGTCTTGGTTCCATTAATCAGGACCACTAGATGCCCCTACCCCACCCCACTAGCCTGGAAAAGTCCCAGAGCCAGCACATCTGCACAGAGCAGATGTGTTAAATACGTGGGCTTTACCATTGGAGGGCGTTTCTTGGCCTCTTAGGTCCTTATTCATAGTGTCCTAGAAGATCTCCAGAGAGAGAGAGAGAGAGAGAGAGAGCAAGAAATACTTCCCTAGTGTAGGGGGGTAGAGGCAGCAGTAAATGGGGTACTAGTGACTGCTCTCCTGCTTCCCTGCTGGCCTGGGGCATTTTCCTAGGCATTGAGTGGCCTGCCTCCTTGGGTGGTAAATGGGGCCATTTTGACCATACACCAAGCCCGTCCGGTGCCACATTTCCACCCTGGAGCTTGCCCTAGCCAGCCTTACCTGAGTGGGACAGCAACATTACTTACTGCCCTGTTTCCTCCAAGGTGCCCTTGAGGGTGACGTTGCCGGCTGCTGGTTATAGCCTCACCTCAGCAGGAAACCTTTCCCTGTTCCTAATGCTCAGCTCCAAGTGTAATTATCTCAGGCCTGATCCAAAACAGAGCTAGGACCAGCTCTGTATGCATTAGGGGCTACTCTCTCTTCGACAGGGGGTGGGGTATATCGGGGTGGTGGTAGTGAAACCTTAACATCACGGCCAAGGTACAACCTACTCAGAGTTGACTCCTTCTGGCTCTTCTGTCTCCAGTTCTGAAAGGCCAAGAGTTGCCAGAACTCTGGGAGAATGGGAGCATCTTAGGGACCGACCATGCATCCCACCCTAGAGAAACGAGGCTAACATCTGTGGTGGAGAGTACGCTGCTTAACCCTCACAAGGCCTCCCTGCCAGGAGTGAGTTCCTGTCTATCTCAGCCTTAGCCTTCTGGCCCAGGTTCAGGATGTCCGCCCCACTTGGCGGGCAGCCTTCTCCTGGCAGTCTCTTCCAGGTCAGGGGCAGATAGCAGCCCCCCAAACCCCCTCCTCTACTTGTCCCCCTTCAAGTCTTTCACAAAAGTAGCCCACGCCCTCCCCCACCCCCCACAGCCCACAGCCCACAAGTCCCTCTCCCACAGGACCTTGCCTGTTCCTTTCATGTCCCCGCTGTGGGGGGACCTCCCCTTCCACCACGGTAGACAGCTGCTTGTCAGACAGCCCCTCAAGCATGGCTGTGGTTCAGCCTGTTGCCCCCCCTCCCAGGGGGGTGAGGGGGCACTTCAAGGGGGGAAGGACAGCCTTGCCACCTTCCCTCAGTCCTGAATGGGGCCTCAGCCAGGCCATAAACGCCCAGACCAGCAGCACCATTGTGCTAATTCCCTTTCCAGAACAGGTTGGACCCACCCCCAGCCCCCTCCCTGCCAGGCTGGGGGCTTTCTTCTTGCTCTCCCTAGATGTGTGAAGCAAAAGGGGGAAGGAAAAAGGGGGGTGTTGTCTCTCTCCCACCCCCCCACTGCTTCAAAGGCAGCCCCTTCCCACTCCAGAGAAAAGGCATTTACCTTAAAAAAAAAAAAAAAAAGTCCCCAGTGGATGGGAAGAGAAACAGGCCTCTGGCCTGGGAACGCCAGGCCATCTCTCCCCAGAGCGGTTCTGGACCAGTGCATTTTAATAGCTGCATTTTTATGGAGGATCACAAAAAAGGAACTGTGCCTTGTCTCGGGCTGGGCTGGGGGCTTGGGGGTGGGAGGTGTGTGTGGGGGGAGTGTGGAGAGGTAAGCCCCGAATTCCATCCCAAACAAACCCTTAGGCTTGACCTAGGAACTCTAGAGGTAATGAGACCCTGGGCACCTACGGCCCAAGCATGTAGGGAAGAGTGGATGGTGGGTGAATGGACCAAACAAGTGGTTTCAAACCCAAACCCTTCAGGTACCCGCGGCACACAAACCTCACCTGAGCAATCCTCTCCACTGGCTTCTAACCGCCCCAGGGCTCTATCCCTCAAGTCTAAACAACACACTGTCCATAACCATCCAGAAGTCCATCACAAAGGGATGGAGAGAGGGGAGACCCAGGAAAAGCCAGCAAGCAGGGTGGTTCCGAGGGCCCAAGAGGCAAACCTCAGTCTATCCGCCACCCTGTTTGTCTTTTGCCAACCCATCTTCTGACCCTCCAAACCCCAGCAGTTGCTGGGTTGGAAGAGGCCAGTCCTGCCTCCCCACCTCTGAGGTGAGGTGAGAAAGGTGTGTGTGGGGCGCGGGGTGGGGGGAGCTAGGCTGGGGTGCCTACCTGCGTTTGACAGCAGAGAGTCAAGAGCTGCAAGCACCTGTTTGAGGAGGCAAGGCAGTTCCAGGTGTGAACACCCCGGGCACACCCGTCCCCCACCTTTGTCTTGCCCCACCTGCCCGATGGTTAGTCCCAGGGAGGTATAATTTTCCTGGGGCTGGAAATGGCAAAAGAACTCCAGTCGCAGGCAGCACACTTACAGAGTAAGGTTAGGCAGCAGGCGGGCGGCTCCCATCGCCGGAGAGACTTCTTGGGGCGGTTGCCCCTCTACCCCCCAAACTCAGGAGCGGATGTGGGCAGACGCCTGGGGTAGAGTCCCAGAGAAACCCAGGTCTCTCGGAGCCACAGGTTTTCGGGGATGAAAGGAGACGGAGGGAAGGAGGAAGCTAGCGGAGGGGAATGCGGGGGAGGGGGGCGTAATTGGGAGACTGAGGTGCGAGGTGTCCACCTTCCGGGCCAGGGAGGCTGCGAAGCTGAGCTGGTCCGATTGGCGTACTCGCACCCTTGGGCTGCCAGCTTCGAGCGGGGGTCCCCGGGCGCAAAGGATGGAGCTGCGAGAGTGTCCTCTATCAGGAGGCTGGCCCCTGCGATCTCTTCTGATTTTTTCCTGACCCGCACGGACCTGCCGGCCTCGGTGAAGTGCGGGGCGTGGGGCAGGCACAGGGAGGAAGGCGCCTTGCCCTCCCCCTCTCAGGGTCAGCCGCTCCCGCCCTCAGGTTTGATGCCCCAATCTCATCTCTTTAAGAATGAGCTGCAGGTACCGAGCTGGGGCTGGGGTCTCGAGTTCTGGCTCGGGGTGGGAATTCCCAGAAGCAGCCTTTAAAGGAGGAGCCTCCCTCCAGGGAGCAGGGGTGGGCTTGGCTTGAGAGACTGCTGGCTTGGCTTCTCTGCTGTCACCCCTTGCCACCAGGAAAGAGGGGTAAGGCTACCAACAGTGGGTGCAACAGGTTGGGGCCAGAGGTGGGGCGTCAGGTGTGGCTAGGGATCTTGGAAGGTCACAAAAACTGGTCTGAGACGGAGACCCCAAGAAGTGGGAGTCACTTTTGCCTGGGCCTGTGCAGTCGCCTGTGGACAAATGGGACAGTCAATGGAGGGAGTACTGAAGGGCCAAATGCGATGACGGTGAGCCAGTGTGGAAAGCTCGAAGACGTGGAAACCCCTTACTTTGGGGTTGAGACTCAGCCTTAGCCTCCCAGGTCCCATCTACCAGTGTCTCCTAGCAGTTGCCCGGGATGTCGTGCTCAGCAGTATGGACATAGGACCCCTAGTCCCACGGAGCTGGGGTACCCAAGCTATTAACTGCAGTTTGCTGATAGGAAACAGGCCCACAGGGAGGTAATTTGTTCAGAATAAACCAGCTGCTGATTGAAGGAGCTGCATTTCCAGAATATGGTCTCTTTCTGTTCCCTGGAATTGTGACCTCATCCCCCAAGGTCCAGCCTTCCAGCGGCCTTATTTTCACTATAGGGCTCAGAGACCTTACTGGATTTCCTTTTCTTTCCTTCCTTCCTTCCTTCCTTCCTTCCTTCCTTCCTTCCTTCCTTCCTTCTTTTCTTCCTCTTCCTTCCTTTTTCTTTCTTTCTTTCTTTCTTTCTTTCTTTCTTTCTTTCTTTTTCTTTGTTTTCTTCCTTCCTTCCTTTTTCCTTTTTTTTTCTTCCTGAGACAGGACCTCACTAAGCAGCGTCAGCTGGCCTGGAATTCACTGTGTAGACCAGGCTTGCCTCCAGTTCACAGACACCCACCTGCCGCCATCTCCCGTGTTGGGATTAAAGGTGTGCACCACCGGATCTGACAGGCTTAACTGGATTGTAATGTGGCAGACAGCTGAGGTTCTGAGAGCTGCTGACCACTTCTCTTCTTACAGAAAGGTGGGCGGGTGGTGAGCTGGAAGGAGGAGATCGACCGGCTGAATGAGCTCTGGCTCCCTGGAGTTCAGAGAGCCTTGGAGGTGGATTTATTTTTGCCCTTGCTGATTGGTAAGGAAGGTGACACTCTTTCCCTAGCTCCCTTCTCACCTCTCTGAGTTCTAGCAATCCACAAAGTGATCTGGGCGTTTGCTCCTCCTCTTCCCCCACTTCCCAAGCAAGCTAGAAGATACTTTCTTTCCCCTGCTCCCCTCCCAGGGGCTCAGTTCAGCTCTATCTGGCTGGGTCCGTTAGAGTTCCACTTTCTCTTCTGCAGACTCAAAATGCCTCTGCAGGGGTCTGGGGGTGTATTTGAAGAGGAGTGTGAGAAGGTGGGAATTATCAGGGAGAGTCAAGGGATTTGGAATCAAATTTAAAGAAAATTAGAGCTGGGGGTTGGCGGGGGATGTAGCTCAGTTGGTAGAAGGCTGGTCGAATGTTCATGAAGTTTTGGGTCCCATCCTTAGCACTGCTTCAACCAGGTGTGGTTGCACACCTGCAATCCCAGTGCTCCAGAGGTTGAAAGCAGCTGGGGGATCAGTTCAAGGTCATCATCATTCTCGGCTACACAGCAGGTCTGAGACCAGCCTGGGACATGAAACCATATCTTAAAAAAAAAAAAAAAAAGGTCAGAGCATGGTGATACACACACCTTTAGTTGGAGCACTCTCAAGCCAGAGGCAGGGGGATCTCCTGAGTATGAGGCCAGCCTGGTCTACAGAGCAAATTGCAGGACAGCCAGGACTACAAAGAGAAACCCTGCCTTCAAAAAAGAAAAGAAAAAAAAAAAAAGTCAAAACTAGAAGGTCAATGATACCTCATCTCTAACAGGATGTGTGGCTGGGTCAAGGGGCTAATGACCCAGTGTCTAGCACGGTACAGTGCAGCAACACAGTCTGATGTTCTTAGAAGCAGCTCCAGCCTGCTCACCTCTCGGTACCCGCTGGGCACACCTCCACCCCCACCCCATATGACCTCATTCTCACCCAGACCCGCTAGCTCCTGGGCAGGGTGTTTAAAGGCCTCTCCTCCATCTGAATTCAGTTCAAGGCATCAGGTGGGCTGATGCTAAAGAACTCAGGAACATGGAGGAGACGGCTAGAGATTTGGAATTCAACGGGGGTGGTGCCATCTGGAAGCAGAGGACAGGCACAGGCCAGGGCATCAATACCTTGTGTTCTTGAGTTCACTCACCAGGAGGCAGTGAGAATTCAAGGCTTCTGAACCTGAGCACCTGTTTCCGGTCACTGGGAATAGGGCCTGTTGTCACTCACTCACTGGCTAGCCCTTCGTGCAGCCGAAGTCTCCATGGTAACAGATGCCAGTAGTGAAATTTAGTCTTGAGGCTCAGCCAGAGTCTGGTACCAGCGGGATATAGGGTAGCCTGCTTTATGTGAAGCATCCTTGACATCTCATCCCTTGTCATTTGGCGCTTTCAGGCCTGGCTTTCAGGTTTGCTCTCCTACTGTCCTGGGGGAGGCAGTAGCAGGCCGAGAGAGAGAGAGAGAGAGAGAGAGAGAGAGAGAGAGAGAGAGAGAGAGAGAGAGAGAGACAGTGGGGACTGGGTTCTGGAGCTAATCCCCATCCCTTGCTATGTGACTTGGAAAGTTCATTTCTCTGGCTCCAGGCTCTATTTTAGAAGAAGAAATGGCTGCCATCACGAATGTCAGTTGAGACAAAGGACTCCTGTTGCCAAGGAGGGGAAAGGGAGACAATGGCTCTCTCTGTGGTTCAGCCTCAGTTTACCTAAACTGTGACAGACTTGACTCCGCGGATGGAGGGCACTGAGAGGTGCTAAGCAGAGCGCTAGGGGGCTGCCAAAATTCTAGTCAGTCTCCACCCCTCAGTGCCAAGTCCAGCATCCCCAAGTCCAGTCGGGGCTGTCTCCCCCAGCTGCTGCAGCACCGACCATCCTCTGCAGACCTGCCACTGGCCTCAGCCTAGCCATCCTTCCTGTAGGAACACTGGGGTTGGGGATAGGGTCAGGGCCAAGGGCACCCCTAGCAATGTGGGCTGATACCTGACCCGACTACAGGCCTGCAGATCCAGGCAGGTGGTCAGTGCTGTACCTGTTGGTCAGCCCCATGTGTGGAACGGGTGTATTTAAGTGCCCCTACATGTAGAGCCTTGCCTGTGGCCGCAGGAGGGTGAAGTCCCTGCCATGTCCTCCCCTGGCCATGACTGGGCTTCCCTCACACAGAGGACTGCCCTCTAGCTCCCTCCCTCAGCTCACAATCTTTCCTGCACACTGTCAGGAAACCCTCACATGGCTGGAGTGGTCACGGCAAAGCTTCTGGGGCCGGGCAATCTCGCTCCTCCTCCTGCTGCTCCCTGACCTAGGTGCAGGCTGCTAGCCTCTCGGCTTTGCTTTTCTCCTTTAAGAAGTGAAGCTAATATCACCCACATGGGAGGATGGTTGTGATGGCTAACGGAGCAAGTCTGGGACAGCCTGTATACCCTGGGCTTGTAGCCCCTGTTGCCATGGCTGCCTTCCTTCTGGGTGGACGCTTGGAGCCGTCTTCTGCCTCAGGTCAGCCGGATTCACAGGAACAGTCTTGTTAGCTTCCTCCATTCCCTTCCCCATTCCCTTCATGGCAGCTGCCTGTTCCCAGGAACCTCCTCAGGTTCTCTTTATTCGCTGGGTTCCTCCCTCCAAAGCTTTTCCCAGGAACTGAAATCATGCTGTTGGCTTTGCACCCCCACCAGGCTGCAGGTGATTTGGAAGGGGGTGGAAGTGGGCAGTTAGCGTGGCTTGCCCGTAGTTGTGACTGACACCAGCGAGCCGGCGGGATGAGCATCATCTGCACCAAGGGCCAAGGAGTGGAATAGGAGTCAAAGCCACCTCCTGGGACGCATACGTGGGGACAGCTCTTCCAGCTTGTTTCTGACCCGGCTGATAGGGATGCCGGGGTGGGGCAGGAAGAGCACAGGTTCCCCCACAAGCACAGCCTCTGGGATTGTCTTGTGTCTCACTCAGATCAGGGATGAAGTCTTGACCACCCTCTGTGAACAGGCTCCAGAGCTACCTCTCCAGAGCTAACGAGGCTAAAGAGCCAGAGCCAAGCAGTAGCCACCCACTGGTTGGAAGCTGGCCTCACCTTGTGACAGGCCTGTGTCCTGCTAAGTGTCATATGGGCCTAGTCTCAACTGTAGTAGCCTAGATTGCCCCCCCAGTGGGTGTCCCATTGGTGACAATTGCCTGCTAAGAGAGAAATGGAGCAGTTTGCTACCTTCCTGTTAGCAAAAGCTGGTTGGGCCCCAGAGTTCTGTACTTGCAAACCTCACCTACCCCAGCTCACAGAGGACAGGGCAGAGGCCAGATAACTAGGCCTTCACCCAATCCTGGGGCGGAAACCAGGAAGAGCAACATGGGGCCAGTTTCTTGCTCGCGGTTGCCCTCTGCTGGGCACTTGAGCTAGTGCAGCGGCAAGGAGACCCACCCAGGGAAAAGGCAGAGGGAGGTTCTGACCGTGCAATTTTTATTGTGACTTAGGCATGCTTGTGGGGGTTCTTCTCCAAGAGCCTCTTGAAACAGAAAGGCCGGATTGTAGGGCTCCTGTGTGGCCCCCACAATACTATCACATTAGGTTCAGATGGAGGGGCTGGACACCTGCACCAGAGCACAGCGGTCGTCATCTTCCCTGGGACTTGGGAGATACCAAGGTGCTCTTCATTTCTTGGATGCTGACTTCCTAGGTTTGGGTGTAGCTTTCCCCTGTGCAGATAAGGGAGACTGAAGAGTCTCTCTCCCTCCTTC